AAATAGAACAGCATAAAAATGAAACAAGTAAGTCAGTAACTGTGTATTCGTGTGTAAAGAAGGGATTGCATAATGGTTTTCTAAATTAATGTCTTTTTCTATGTATTCATTTTTGGACATACACTTTTCTTTCTTTTTTTTTTTTTACATACTCATACTTACATGAAACGTAATATTTTGTATTCTCATCTGCAGCCAGCAGGTGGAACTCTCAGCTCCTTTTTATATATTTTCCAAGCTCTGCTTAGCTTCTCTTTGGAAAAGTCTATTGTATACAGAATTCAAAAGATCAAGCTGTAATTTACACACAACTGAATGTGATAGGGCAGTGACTCCTCCCTCCCTCCATTTTTCTCTTTATGAGGTTTCCCTTCAGAGAAGGATGCTATGGGAAACCATGTATTCTGAATATAAGTAGTAAATCAAGGAACATAAATGCAGCACTCTTTAGGAGCATTATTTTGTTCCATGCATATGCAATTGGCCACTCTTTAGGAGCATTATTTTGTTCCATGCATATGCAATTGGCCACAGATTTTTGTCAGGCCAGTAGCACATCTATTAGGTGCCTGACAAAGTCTATGTGTCACGAAACCTCCATATTCTAAGGCACTTTGATCCATCTTTTTATACGTTAAATTAAGAAGTATACACCACACTGGAATTGTGGTTTATTGTGAGATGTGGTGACTGCAACATTTTTAAAGGTCTCTTCCATTAATGTTATTTTTTTTTGCCAGAACCTTCCTGTGAGAGTGGTTGGCTAGAATTTGATGCTAATTGTTACTTCTTCTCGAATTTTGAACTGAACTGGATGAATGCTGAGAAGATGTGCCTTAACAGAGAAAGTCATCTGGTTATAATTACAAGTGTAGCGGAGCAGGTAAATGGTTCAGAGCATTATCATTATTTTTAATCAGGTTTTAGGCTTGAGAGCATCACGTGCCAAAGTGAAAGTGAATCTGCCCTGGCAGGGGAGGACTTGGCCTTGACCTTTGGTCTGGGCTGCCAAACACTAGCCCCTTCATGGCAGGGACATACACTATATTGCCAAAAGTATTGGAACACATATCTTTAAATGCACATGAACTTTAATGGTATCCCAGTTTTAATCCATAGGGTTCAATATTGAGTTGGCCCACCCTTTGCAGCTATGACAGCTTCAACTCTTCTGGGAAGGCTGTCCACACTGTCAACACCCCTTCCCCAAGTTCCGTCCAATCAAAATTTGAGCCTTGCAGCAGGCTCTGCATCGTAGATGTTCTCATTCCTTAGTGATTCCACGAGCGTTGCAGCTGTTGGGGAGGAGGGATCTCTGTCCCTGGCATGTATCCCACAATGTGAAACACACTGTCTGTCTTCTGTTGGCACTCGCACTGTCACTGTCCACGATTGGCCTTGATTTCTGAGACACAGCCTGGGACAAGGTTGGTTGGACAGCTTTTGAAAACCCGTGACTGTCCCAGCCAAATCGGGACAGTTGGCAACTATGCAGCACATGCTTGGTGAGGATGTTATGGGGAGCAATACAAGCTGTTCCTTACTACATGAAAAAGGTGAAAGAATACAATAATGCCAGGAGAGGTATATCTTTGGGTAATGTCTGAACAGTACACTGTAAAACTTTGTGGACTTAGAGTAGTAGTGTGTGTGGGTGTGTGTAATCATACCTTCAATTATTTATGGGCATCTCTCTTAGACATTCCTGAACCAACACCTTAATGGGAAGATATATTGGATTGGTATGACAGATATGGAGACTGAAGGCAAATTTCAATGGGTTGATGGTACTTTGTTCAACTCATCATTATACACGTAAGTTATGTATGCTATAATTTCAGTATAATGCAGTAAGTGCATACCACAGTTAAAGCTATACGCTCATCAATGTGGTACATATTTAGCATTACATTTTTAAAGAGTGCTGAAAATACTAAGAATCACACTGATGTCAGATCAGAGTTCTGCCAATCATAAGCACCACTGTCTCACCACTGCATGGGATCTTATAAAGTGTCTATGCATGCCTCCTGATTGGCAGCTCAACAGGCAACTGGAGGTTTGCACACAACATTGCTGTTAATCGCAAGAGTGATTTCATCATGCTTCCTGTGTGCACAAGATTGCTGTTAATCATAAGGATGAATACATCATCCTTCCTGCTGATGCCGGGAAATGTTGGGTACTCGAAATCTCATGAGAAGATGATCCTGCGCTGTGCTGCACCATCTTATCCAGAGATTTGGAGTGCTCTGAATTTCTCAAAATCACATAGGTAGAATGATGACATACAGTACATACCTTTCATCCAACTTCCTTCTATTAGCGCTTAGGCAAGGGTGATGTCATCATTCTTCCAGCAAGCTTGACAGGAAATGTTGAGCAGTCCATATCTTATGAGAATATGATCATGCACTACTTTTTTTTATTCGTTATGTGTTTTTATGGGGGGGGGGCTTGGTCTGGGCAGATTAAAAAACGCAAAGAGCATCAAAAACCCGTTAGAAATGTGTCAAAAACCCACAAAATGCATTTCTGCAGCAGCTTCATTTAAGTCTATAGAACCAAAACTCACCTAAAAAAGTCCCTGACCCTTTACAAAAATCTCACCAGTTGAAAATGCGTGAACTTCACCCATAGGAAATCATGCTAAATGGACTGTAGATAGATAGATCTAGATAGACAGATAGATAAACAGACAGAGAGAGAGACAGACATGTTTTTTTGGTAAATGGTGAATTGAGGTGAACACCATTTTCTATTCACTAAACTGTATTAGCATTCACTAGTGTGCTACTAGAAAAGTGTAGTGAATGATAGGTAAAATCATTGTGTGACTCGTGGTAGTTGTGTGGGTCATGTGATTATGGTTGGGTTATTGCAGGTCAGCTAGATGGCCCTATTGCCTCCTCCTGACTCTGAAGGACCATAGAACCTTCCAGAAGTCATGCATATTCAAGGGGGCCAATCCCATTTTTGAAGGCCCTGGTAGAGTGGTGGACTGGCCTATAAGTATGGGAGAGTCAGGCTTACAGGGGAGTGCTGAGGAGATTGTCAGAGTTTAGGAGGGGTCCCCTCAGTCTGGAAGGGGGGGGGCGGCCTTTAGGCTGGGCTCTGGCTCACTCAGGAGGATACATTCTGTGGAGAGGTGATGAAATCAGGCCTGGAGCAGCAGGGAGCAAATGGACAGTGTGAGTACAGCAGCACACTTTGGGATCTGAAAGGGGAAAGACTGCCACACGTAGCAAGCTTTCCAAGGATGATATTAAACTAAATTATTTTATCCTTGATACGGGAGATCTTCTGAGAAGTCAGGAGGGCTGGTGGTGTCTGCAGGCCAGGGATCTGGGAATAGCTTCATAGTAGGAGAGAACTCACGTCTCTATATGTAGCTACAGAAAGCAAAGTGATTTCTGAGGGGCTGCTAGTTCCTCGCCCATAAGGGGAAGCTGCTACTGATCCGCAACAACTGTCAGCTTTCAAGAAAAGAACAGTCAAGTCAAGTTGGGCATCCCATAATCCCTATTTCCCTATCCAAGTTGAATTCCCCCAAATAAAACAACAAAAGTCCATGGACTGGTCATTGTCTCTGGCTGCAAGTATGTGTGAAAATACCAGTTGTCTGGCTGTGTGGAGGTGAAACTGACGACATAGCAGCCCTCATGAGGGTAGCACTACATGAACATTGTCTATTATGTTAGTAAATTACCAGCATTCTGGCAATTCTCACAAGATTTAAATGATTGGTGGGTGATATGACTTATAAACATTGACCAAATATGAAATTATTGTATATTCTGTAAAGCAGCAGCAGCAGCAGCAGCCAAACAGTAGCTTGAGAGTTACTTATGACTCTTTACTTTGGGGTGGCTGCCTACTTTGGCAGACATTTAGCATCTATTACTGGCAAGACTATAAGCTTCCCATACACATGAAGCCATGCTAAGCTTGCCTATCTTATTTTATTCACTACAATAATTTAAAGTGTTTCTAAAGCCAAAAGTTTTTTCAAAATTGAAAGCAAAAAATGTTTTATGGCTTTCTGTCCTCCTCCTTCCCTGTGTGAAGGGGAAGAGAGGGGAGAAGAGTTTCAGCACTGTGCACGGCTGCATTTCTTCTCCCAGAGTCCCATCTCTTCCTCTTCACACAGAGATTTGGAGAGCAGCAAGAGCCAACGTCAATCAAATGCAGTAAGGAGGAAGCGGGGGGCAGGGCTAAACTCCGCTATGTGTGTCTATGGAGTGTGGCTCCATAGACACACACAGCTCAGGAGGGAGCACACACTGTGTGCCCCCATAGCAAGTGGCTTGCTATGATGGCAGACGAAAAAGAGGTGGAGCCAAGAACACTGGCGATGGGCTTCAGAAAAGGAGATTTGGTGCTGGTCTGTGCATTACCATTGTATAGAGCAGCGGTTCTCAACCTGGGGGTCGCGACCCCTTTGGGGGTCGAACGACGCTTCCACAGGGGTCGCCTAAGACCATCGGAAAACACATATTTCCGATGGTCTTAGGAACCGAGACACCGCTCCTCGCCGCCGCCGCCGTCTCCAGGTGTGGGCGGGATGACATGCCGCCCCTGTCATCTGGACACACCTCGAGATCAATCCTCGCCTGTGATTGGCCGCCGGCACTGTAGCTCAGGAGAGGCACACAGGCGGCCAATCACCGGCAAGGAGGTGGAGCTTGGAGAGGAGGAGCCGAGCGGCACCGCGAAGATCGAGCGAGTGAAGAGGAGGAGAGCGGCCGGAGAAGGAAGACATCTGACAGGTAAATGTCGGTACCATGGGAGAGGGAGGGAGCGAGCGAGCCCAGGCTGGAGCAGGGGTCTGCAAGGTAAGTATCATTGGTGTCAGTGGGAATAGTGCCCCATCATTGGTGTCACTAATACCAATGATGGGGCACTATTCCTCCCACTGACACCAACGATGGGACACTATTCCTCCCACTGACACCAATGATGGGGCACTATTCCTCCCACTGACACCAACGATGGGGCACTATTCCTCCCCCAAATGACACCAACGATGGGGCACTATTCCTCCCCCACTGACACCAAGGATGGGGCACGATTCCTCCCCCCACTGACACCAACGATGGGGCACAATTCCTCCCCCCCCACTGACACCAAGGATGGGGCACTATTCCTCCCCCCACTGACACCAAGGATGGGGCACTATTCCTCCCCCCACTGACACCAAAGATGGGGCACTATTCCTCCTCCCACTGACACCTATGATGGGGCACTATTCCCCCCACTGACACCTATGATGGGGCACTATTCCCCCCACTGACACTAATGATGGGGCACTATTCCCCCCACTGACACCTATGATGGGGCACTATTCCTCCCCCCACTGACACCAATGATGGGGCACTATTCCTCCTCCCACTGACACCAATGATGGGGCACTATTCCTCCCACTGACAGCAATGATGGGGCACTATTCCTCCCACTGATACCAATGATGGGGCACTATTCCTCCCACTGATACCAATGATGAGGCACTATTCCTCCCACTGACACCGATGATGGGGCACTATTCCTCCCACTGACACCGATGATGGGGCACTATTCCTCCCACTGATACCGATGATGGGGCACTATTCCTCCCACTGATACCGATGATGGGGCACTATTCCTCCCACTGACACCGATGATGGGGCACTATTCCTCACACTGATACCGATGACGAGGCACTATTCCTCCCACTGACACCGATGACGAGGCACTATTCCTCCCACTGACACCAATGACGGGGCACTATTCCTCCCACTGATACCAATGACGGGGCACTATTCCTCCCACTGATACCAATGACGGGGCACTATTCCTCCCACTGACACCAATGATCGGGCACTATTCCTCCCACTGATACCAATGATGGGACACTATTCCTCCCACTGATACCAATGATGGGGCACTATTCCCCCCCACTGACACCAATGATGGGGCACTATTCCTCCCACTGATACCAATGATGAGGCACTATTCCTCCCACTGATACCAATGATGGGGCACTATTCCTGCCACTGACACCAATGATGGGACACTATTCCTCACACTGACACCAATGATGGGGCACTATTCCTCCCACTGATACCAATGACGGGGCACTATTCCTCCCACTGACACCAATGACGAGGCACTATTCCTCCCACTGACACCAATGACGGGGCACTATTCCTACCACTGATACCAATGACGGGGCACTATTCCTCCCACTGACACCAATGACGGGGCACTATTCCTCCCACTGACACCAATGACGGGGCACTATTCCTCCCACTGACACCAATGACGGGGCACTATTCCTCCCACTGACACCAATGACGGGGCACTGTTCCTCCCACTGACACCAATGACGGGGCACTATTCCTCCCACTGACACCAATGAAGGGGGCACAATTCCTCCCACTGACACCAATGACGGGGCACTATTCCTCCCACTGATACCAATGATGGGGCACTATTCCTCCCAATGACACCAATGACGTGGCACTATTCCTCCTACTGCAAAATTACAGTTATGAAGTAGCAACGAAAATAATTTTATGGTTGGGGGTCACCACAACATGAGGAACTGTATTAAGGGGTCGCGGCGCTAGAAAGGTTGAGAACCACTGGTATAGAGCAATACCATTTTATAGAGCAGCAATGGGCAAACTACGGCCCGCGGGCCGTATACGGCCCGGCGGACCTTTTAATCCGGCCCGCGGAGTGTGATAATGTCAGGATGGCTGTCAGGATGTGTGTAGGCGGGGCAGCGTGACGAACGTGAGGGGAGCTAGGCTCCTCTCACAGTCCGCCCTGAAGACCGGAACGGCACGGGAACACGGCGAGAGGAACGCGCGGAGCAAAGGTAAGTAAATTGACACAGGGGAGACTTGGGGACTTAATATGGGGGATGAATTAATATGGGGAATGAATTACTATAGGGGGATGAATTACTATAGGGGGGATGAATTACTATATGGGGGATGTATTACTATGGTGGATGAATTACTATGGGGGATGAATTACTATATGGGGGATGAATTACTATGGGGGATGAATTACTATGGGGGATGAATTACTATATGGGGGATTAATTACTATGGGGGATGAATTACTATATGGGGGATGAATTACTATATGGCGGATGAATTACTACTATGGGGATGAATTACTATGGGGGAAGAATTACTATATGGGGGATTGATTACTATGGGGGATGAATTACTATGGGGGATGAATTACTATATGGGGGATTAATTACTATGGGGGATGAATTACTATATGGGGGATTAATTACTATGGGGGATGAATTACTATGGGGGATAAATTACTATATGGGGGATGAATTACTATGTGGGATGAATTACTATGGGGGATGAATTACTATATGGGGGATTAATTACTATGCTTACTATGGGGGAATATTACTATACTTACTATGGATGACACATACACATCATTCATCTACTCTTGGTCCGGCCCCCGGGTCCAATATATGAACCCATTGCAGCCCTCAAGTCAAAAAGTTTGCCCACCCCTGGTATAGAGTATAACATGTTTATTAAAATAATTTTTAAAAATGTACTTTTAATAATGGTGACTTTCTCAAACATGTATCTTCCCTTATGCAGCTAATCATGACTTGTCAGCAATCAGAATGTGGCTAGCTAGCTGATAAACGAAGGGAAATGGTAATTTCATCCATTGTCTTTTTTAACCTGTGGCAGGTTTTGGAGCAGTGGAGAGCCAAATGACTTTGGGAGAAAGGAAGACTGCGCTACCTTGTCCATTCCAGAAAAATGGAATGATTATGAGTGTGATAAAACCCGACATGCTATCTGTGAGAAGAGACTGATATGAGATTGGCTTCATGCAAACATAAAGAAATTACAGCCCAAATCAACACAATTTTTGTTTTTAGTAGAGTAGGGAACACTAAGATCCTCTGCAATATCTTCCTGTGTCTCTTTTGCTGTGAATTCAGTTTTCTAACTGTTCTTTCTGATTTTCCCAACAGGTACAGAGACAGTATTTAAAAACTTGACAGAGGTTATAACTCTTCCTCACTCTATGCATAGCTTAACCCCTTCAAACCTGCCATCTGTATGTACAGTGGGTATAGAAAAGAATCACCCTCCTTTAAAATAATCACATTTTTTGTTGCTTTGCAGCCTGAAATGACAGTTTTTGTTTTATCCAGCTGTATTTACGCTGTGCAACTTGTAACATCCAAGTTAAAGATATAAAACCAACATGTCAACAAAACCAATGTGTACATTTGTCAGCATAAAATATAATTCTGAGCTGGGTATTTATCAGAATTGAGTTATTGTGATGTTATCTAGTGCTAATTGAAATCACTAAATGTGACATGGGCACCAAGAGTTGAATGATCCCTGGTCATAAAAGGGTTACAAAACAGTTTTGCATGCATTGGGTTCTACTGTGTATCTAAAGTCCAAACATTTTTTTCATTTTGTGTAGAGAAGTGTTATGAGCCCCAGTTGAGTTTTTATTTTTGTCTGTTGTTTGTCCTGGTAACCATTGCCACTGAACTGAAAAGTCTATAGTTGTGAGTTGTCACTACACCAGGACTCGAAAAAGATATCTTCCAATGGGAACAACTTGTTCCAGGGATGACTGTTTAAGAGGGGATTTCACCCACTTTGACGAGATTCCTTCTCACTTCATGTTGTGTCTTCAGGACCTTAACTGGGACAAATCTCCCTAATGGAGCGCTTACGGTAAAAAACAAACCATTATGGGTTTTAACCATTTCTCTCTCCATACAACACAATGTTTAGTCTTTAGGAATGCTTTATGGAATACTTACATCTTTCTACAGTGGGACTTTTCCAAACATCTCCATTTGTTGGTACTTACCAATGCAGAATCAGGAGCACAACGTTTAGTCTTTAGGAATGCTTTATGGAATACTTACATCTTTCTCCAGTGGGACTTTTCCAAACATCTTCATTTGTTGGTACTTACCAATGCAGAATCAGGAAGACTAACTGTTTAGTCAGAACCATGTGCCACAAAGAACACGAGTGTCCATATTAAGATTGGCTGTAAAGAATTACAAACCCTAATATGTACTGTAAACATCTACTATATATATTTCAGCTATGTACTGTACTTAGTTATTTGTAAAGAGTTTTGTTTTGATCATGTTCTTTCATGGTTTGTAATAAAATTAAAAAGGTTTGGTGCACTCTAGATGTCTTTATACTGAGAACTGATATATAGATAGTGTGGTAGTCTTACTTACCATTATTATGCTCTCAGCAGTGGTGTAACTAGAACCTTCAGGGCCCCGATGACCCTTGGCCGCTGCCCTTCCCTTTCGAGGCTGGTGGTCCAGTTGCAAGTGTGACCTTTGTGACTCTAGTAGTTCCAACATGGGTATCAATAGTTTTTTTTTTATTTACCATTTTTTTGTTGTTTTTACAAAATTTTTTAAAATTATTTTTAACATTTTTATAGGAGCCCTGTTGGGGAGTTTTAGTGAGATATCAGGGGTCTAAACAGACCTCTGATGTTCCACCTTTGAGACAGAAAATAGGACACAGCCCTCAATCTCCATCTCTGCAGCCTCAATTGCATTGAATGAATGGATAGGAAAAGCTCTGCACAGAGCTTCCCCTCCATTCATAAACTAAAACATAGTAAACACAGTTTACTTCAGCTCAGTTATGAATGTACAGAGTCAGTGACTCTGTTTATTCTGAAAAAGAAGGGGCTAATAAATAACACATTTACTAGCCCCTTCCCCGCTCTCCATCCTGAGAGATCCCCCGCAGAAGCCGGCGGGAGAGGAGGGGAACCCTACAGAGCTTCCTGTAATGCAAGAAACTACGAAAGACCTCCTGATGCTCGCTTGCAGCCCTTCCCTCCAAGCCCAGTGGTGGAAGGCCAGGGCCTAGTTGCAAGTGTGACCTTTGTGACCCTGGTAGTTCTGCCACTGGTGTCAGTAGTTATTTTTTTTTGTTTTGCTTGTGTTTTTTTACCATTTTTTAAAATTGTTTTTTACAATATTTCTTAAAATTATTTTTCACATTGGGGAGCTTCGGTGAGATATCAGGGGTCTAGACAGAAAACAGAGATTTGAGACAGAAAAGTAGAGATTGAGGGGGCGGGGGCAGCTGCATATAGAGGAAACAATCTCTCCATGTTCTTCCAGAAGCTCTTCCTCCTCTCCCTCCCGCAAGCA